TATTTTCAAATTTCACAATTTTAAGGATTTTATCTCCTCTATATTTCAAAGATATGGAGTGTAGCACAAACTAGAAAATAGAAAAATTTTTAATTTAAACTTATGTGAAGACATGCTTGACTTAATACTTATACATAAATATATTAGGGAAAACCAAAACAAAAAAAAGTCATAATTTTATCTATTACGTCCAACGTTTTTAAACTTCAGACTATAGTATTTTATATCCTATAATATATCAAAGATCTGGTAGAAAACTTATAAATGAGAAAATTTACTTTAGATACGGACGCCATGCTCGGCTTAATATTATATATGAATATATTAGCAGAAATCGCAAAAATTAGAAAAATTAGTCATAACTCTGGATCTATTCACTTGGATATTTTCAAACTTTTACAATTCTATAGTATTTTATATCCTCATAATACTTAAAACATCTAGAGGTGGCACAAAATTAGAATTAAAGAATTTACTTTAAATAATGTGACACTACGCTTGCTTAATACTTATATATATAAATATATTAGCAGAAAGCGCAAAAGTTTGGAAAATTAGTCATAACTCTGATCTATCACTTGATATTTTCAAACTCACAATTATATAGTGTTTATATCCTCCATAATACTTGAAAGATCTGAGGTGGCACAAATTAGAATTAAGAAAGAATTTACATTTAAATTATGTGACACTACGCTTCGTTTTAATAACAATTATATATAAAATATATTAGCAGAAAGCGCAAAAGAAATGAAATTATCGGGTTATAGTTAATGATAAATCGCTTGGGTTCACGTTTGGTAGAAATAAGCTAGCATATAATACATTTGCAAAATAACTTGTGTTTATATTATGTATATGAAAAGCTATATAATACGTATATTGCACAGAAACCGCCAAACAATCAGAAATTTACGACGAAAAGTTTTTGTCGACATTTCAAAACACTATACAATGTTATATTCTGTTGGTATCTCGCTTTGAATCCTAACATATTTACTTAAAAGTGCGATTACTTTTACCAATTATCATTTTGAAAGTATTTTATCACTTGACGATAGACTTTCAGGATTTTAAATATTGTCCATGCCATGCACTTGTTAATGTTAATTGGAGTTTTTCAACACGTTTCACTTAAGGACATAATTATGTACATAAAGATTCATGAGGAGACAAGCGAAATATTAAAATCTAGTACCTACATATCGAATTATCAATTCGTATGATTTTATGTATCTACATATAATTGATTGCTTTTATATGAAATACTTTACAGCCTAAATAAAACAAAATCAACAATGATACAAAACTATAAAGATATATCATATGCATCCATGGTAAATCGTTCATATATATACATTGTTTAAGCTTTGAAATGGCTGGGGTGTATTTCAGTGATAGTGATGATTTCTAAATCAATAACATATAATAGATTTCTGTCAATACTTGAAGTATTTAAACTGCATTTGTATTTATAGTCGTCCAAACCAGTTATGAAAAGAAGACGCGAGAGAATAAATAACAGTTTGAACAGAACTGAAAAATTGCTTAAGAATCAAGGAAAGAGATGTAAGTTAAAGTTATGTTGTAAAATGTTGTATGGAGGAGATGATAAATTCAATGCGATTACTTCAGTTTTGTACATGTCTGATCATTGGCGATGATCATAAATTGATTCATCAATCATTTATCTTTTTATTTATTTACAGTGTTTATGCAGCAGGATTAGTACCATGTTGATTTTGTAAGTGAAGTTAAATCAATGACCTTATCCAATGGTTTATATACGACAATTACCAACCTTGTGTTTGTATAGAAGAGGAAACGTTAAGTCGGTTGATTTCTTTAAATAGATAGATTTATAGCCTCCAAACTGTTCTTCTTTCATATCTTGTTTTACTAGAAGAATAATTAAAAAATTGTCAACTACATTTGTGATGGATAAGACAGTCAAAATTTGGCTCACGGAAATTAAAATTATGAATCTGTAATCCAATTACTTCTCATGAAAAGGAATTATAGGATGGTACTTTAAAACAAATCAACATAATATCAAAAATTCAAGCTGCTGAGCTTATTGCAAAGTATACAATTTCATTTGGCAAATGTAATTTATGCAGCAGTTAGATGGATTAATTGTTGACAAAGCACTTGTTAAAGAATTTATCGCCTGCTGTTAGACACTAAATTTCTGCATAAAATCGTTTTAGTTTTCTACAATAACTCCAACAACTCAATAAAACATGTGAGACTAACTTATAGCTATAATGACATTTAGACGGCTTGCTGCTCAAAGTTAGAAAAAAGCTGACATACTAGAAATGACCGTGCAGTATTTAAAATCCATCCGAATGCAACAAGTAAAAGGTAAAACATTTTCTTTTAATTAGTTTAATTTACAGATTAAAACAAGATTACTGTCTTTTCTATTATTTCACTTGCACAACATAATTAGTAACCACAACGAAGAAATTTTCAAATATTTTTTATTCAGTCAGAGTGGCACCAGTGACATTTTTCGAAAATCGTTTTTACCAACAAACAAGCCGTTTTACCAACAACAAAATGCTCAAAAGAATTTTGTGCAAAACATAATTGTTCATAGTACAAAGAACATTTGAACTTGACCTCTATTGTCATGAACATTTTAACAGCTTAAATCCGTGGCAATAGAAAATCTTCGTTAAATAAAAAAATTAAAGAGATAGTGATGACACAAATTGTTTCATAACTAGACATCCATTGGAGATTATCTGTTTAGTATAATTTCGTTTTCTTTAGCAATCAACCATAACAGATCCTGTTGCTTTGGCTCATTACAGAGCAGGTTTCAATCACAGCGCTATGGAAATCAACAAATATCTTATGGATACACCTGATTTACAACTTAAAGTCCGTAATAGACTTCTTACACATCTCTCAAACACTTGTCATGCTGTATTCAGTAACCATCAAACCATTCAACACACAAAACAATACAATCTACCAATGTACCAATTGCCTGCAACAGTTATCACTAATGAACCTTCGTCTTCAAAAGAAATATTTTTCAATTCATCAACATCAATGTTCGTTTGATTTTGCTCAAGGAAAATTCGTGTTTCAGAGTGGATACAATTTTGAATTCTTCCATTAAAATTAACTGCGTTCTCATCAATGTTCGTTTGATTTTGCTCGTTAAGGAAAATTCGTGTTTCAGAGTGGATACAATTTTGAATTCTTCCATTAAAACTTAAAAGTTTTAAAATCTTGGACTTTTCCGAAGCTAACCATCGATCGAAAAGTTGAGCTTTTTGTTCAGCAAATTCTAAGTGAGTTATAGATATATTTTTGCACACGAAATTTTTGTCTGTAGGCTTCGGGGACCAACTCATAACCCTTCAGGATCGCATCTTTTACTAAGTCATAATCCGCAGAATCAATTACAGACATTTGAGAAAAATTCTCTAGCTTTTCCTATCAAAACGCTTTGTAAAGCATGGTCCAACTTTCTTTGGCCATTTACAATTTTCGGCGACTTTTTCAAAATGCAAAAGTACTTGTCTACTTCCGATTCCGGGAACGGTGGAACCATTCTACATGCTTGGTTATGTCAAAATTTGTTTTAGAATGTTCAGCATGTGTATTTGTGGCTTGAAGTTTTAATTTTTCTAGTTCTATCTCCTGTTCTCTTAACTTAAACGCTTTCTTTCGTGCACATTCACGCTCCCATTCAAGTCTTTCGCGTTCTCTTCTCCACCTTATTTCTTCTTCCTCTCTTTGCCATTGTCTTTCGTCTGACTCTTCCTGACTAACATCTGTTTGAGCAATGCTATCTACTTCACCTCTTGTATTTTGCATGAAAATACTTTAGTTTTCTTCTTCATCAACGAGTTTATCGTTGCATAATCTTTTTAAAATTACATGCTGTATTTCGCGTTTAGACATTGAACTTTTTAATTCGACCTTAAGATATTTCCCTAAAGCTTTTAGATCATCTTTTCTTAATTTCAGAATATTCTCATATGTTGGTTCCACCATAAACTCTTCTGGTGTAAATGCAGACATGTTGAAACAACTGGTCCACAAGTTTACTTTAATAAATGATTTTTTCTTTTGTTGTTTATAAAATATTGATGTGAAATTTTGTTGTTGAAATGATTTCGATTTGTTTTGGATTCTATTTTCTTTTTCGTTCTGACTTCTGTTCAATTGAATAACTTGAAAGAGTTCTTTCCCGGGTGGGCCCCCAATTTTGTTACGAACGTCCTGACTAATAATAAATGGCCGCTTTTGGTTCAATTGCTCGTAAAAAAGGAGTAAAACCTTGTGGAGAAGTTGTCAATTCTTAAATATTTATTTAATATACTAATAATTTTGATATAATCGTTATAATATAAATGTTTAAATGTTCAAACTTGTCTAAGACAACTGCTTTCAGACTTTCGGCGACTCTTTCGTTGATGGATAGGATATATATCTGGATTCTTTTCTTAAATAGTTCGTCTTCTTTACATGAGCTTTCTTCTGATGTGGACTTCTACTAAGCACCAACATAACTACAACTTTCGATTCTCGGCTTATATGTGATTGCACAATGACGTACGATTAACCGCTTGTGCGCAAACTGTGGTCAGTTGATTAACCATGTATCCTGTACGTTGTTTGTGGTCAGTAGGTTGACCACGTCCTATACGTAAGTTTCCTGTTATTGTGGTTAACATACACATGCATGTATGAGTAAGGCATTTTACTAATTAGTTTACTAATAATATATTTAAATATATAACAATAATAAGTATAATTTACATGATTATGTATTATCATGTAACACCACCGATAGTATAAACATACATATGTATCCCCGATAATACACATACATAACACATGTATCCGCCAACAGAAAGAATAAATCAAATGATATCACCTTTCACCAACCTTCAACGCATTACTGGAAAGTAATTGCAAGAGAGGAAAATCTTTTGTGAATGCTTCCATTTTCCTTATCCATGCTTCATAAACTTCATCATGGTCAGGCAAGAGAGATTTTAGATTTTCAGCAGCCAACTGCCATTCGCTCATCTTTTCAAGTACTTTCTTAATGTTTGTCCACAAAATACGAAATACTTTATATGTAGTCATTGTGATGTGTGAATATTCAGCATCTTTTACTCATGTAAGTTGCTAACAAGACACAAACTGAGTTTCTTACATATATGCCTCAATTTCACATCATAATCATTCATTTCCGACGCCCTCTAGCAAGACCATGAAAGTTTTAATCTTTTAATACTAATATTGTCAGCTGAAAGACAACTTCAAGATAGTAGAGACGTATGATATAGAGAAAACATAGGATCAGCCATGAAATAGCCCATCCTAAACTAAAGGAAAACGAATATAAACTTGCCATATGAAGATCTATCTTCTGATTATTCTTTTACTTTTCAGTCTCTTTATCTTAATTTCATACGATTCATCTTACGTCATTATTCATCATACTTTATATTCATCTCACGATCGTTTACTTACATAAAATGAAATTAATTAATAAGCCGTTTTACTTATTAGCAGCTAAAATAGTTAGAAAAGATCAGGGGCGGTTGCACGAAGCCTGGATAGGGTTATCCATTGATGAAAAATTTTTACACTTGTAAAAAGATGTTTATATTTTTAAGACAAAGAAATTTTGTAGTCCCCGAAACAATATTTTATTTCAGTGAATGCACAGTTCAAATCTACCCAGTGGATAGCTATGGTACCTAGTCATTTCTATGTTTTACGGGGGTCGAAGCAAATTTGTCGGCAAAGTGGTATGGTCTTGGTTTGGACTTAGCATTAAGTGAAAATATAACGATAGATGACCAATTTTTGCCGACAAAACGATGATTGGGCGAATCTCGCACCCATGATCCACCATTCGCGACTGCTCTGATATTCTGTTCTAACACAGTTACATTTTCAATTCTGTCATGTCCGCATTTGTGTAATTTGGTGACTTCCTAGAGCGGTTCATATTGTATTACTTATAGGCTAAAAGCGCAATGATATCATTCTCGCATCATGCTATGCGCTCAGTCACGGTGTGCTTTACCTAAAAATGGTGTTTGAAGCCAATGTTCGATTTTCTCGCCGCACACTTTATACTCGTACAACTCATAACGTCATTCTCTGTATTCCACGAGTTCGTCCAAATCATTCATATAACCTCTAAATGTTCTCCGAAGCTAAAGCGAAAAAAGTTGAATTTGACTACCGAAGACATGTTCGACAGTTTCAAAATATTCTTAAATGTGAATTCTCCCTCTAGCAAGAAATCTACGATAAAACTAAGCTGAAATTGTGAATTCTTTTCTTCCGGAAAGAATTCTCCGAAAAACTTTCACTGTGCCATAATTGTGAATTCTTTTCTCTCGCGAGAATCGAGAGTTCCGTGAAAACAGTTCGTGAGTTCAGTAGACATGAAAATCGCAATCTTTACCTTCATTAAACTTAATATCATCAACGAATTGTTCTCAGAAATCAAGAACTCTCCGCTTGTTGCTTACCAACAACAACACGAGCTTGATGCTCAACAGACTAAAAGAACACATTCAATAAACAGAGATGAGCAAGATGTCCTCTCCTGATACATAGACTCTATTGTTATTATGTAAGTTTGTAAATTATTTATGATTATTAAATCCTTTTCTATGTTATTATTTACAGTTTGTTTCTATGCACAATATGATGTGAGATATTACTGGGCAATAAGTTAAATGAAAACAAAAACTTTATACAATCGAATATAATACACATAGTTTAAAACAAAAAATTTGTTAACCTAGACTTAGAAAATTATCGTATCCCTTCACATCACCACGTCACGTCATGGAATCAGAGGTGTAACTAGAATGTTAATTGGGGGAGGTGTATATTCATGTATTCAGTTGCGCCCTACCGATTTCTTTTGAAATTCAATTCACTCTCAAAAGAAATCAGTAAGGCACAACGGATTTTATAAGAATATGCCCCACACACACACCTCAATTAACGTTCTAGTTACTTCTGTATGGAATAACTATGTATTGACAAACTTATCACATCACATATACTGTTTTATCGTTTTCATTTTAAAAATAGTGTAAATATACCAAAATATTTTACCATAATCTTATCATCACACGAATTATTTCAGGAATTTTATAGACCAAGAAGTTGGAAGCTTCTTCAAGACAAAAAGTAATTGTTCCCAAGATAAGCAAGTCTGATAGGAAAAATATGATAAAATAAACAAGCATTATTAATTTGATGAAATAACTCAGATGAGATTTATGCAAACAGCATCTTCAATTTCTTTCTTCTTTTCAGACAAAGGTCGCTAGCACGAATCATCTGAACATAGTAATATTACTATAAGTAAAATATCATTTTTGTAATAGTTAAATATTTTTATAATTTCACAAAAATATTGGCATGAAACCTATATAATACCTCAAAAATGCTTTTCATATATTCGACCTCAACTTGTAGAAATGACACTTTCTTTTTTATTTTACCATGAACTTTGATGAAATTGGCAAAATTCTCTAAATCGGTACGCCTATCGGACAGTTGCTAAAAAAATATTATACTAAGGTAAATTCCGGCAAATTTTTTGAACAATTGAGTTTCATTTCGTGTCGGATGAAGGGTTAAATGATTCGATGTTTCCTCAGCATAAAAACAATAAATTTATAAACAAATAAATAACGCTAATGATCTAAAATTTACATAGCAGGACCAAACCTTGCGGGCTAACAACGCAACTACTAAAATGCACGTAGTTTCCGCGACTAACGAATCATGGAACATCTACGCATGTCATAACTTGTTATTTAGTTATCAATGTTATTTAGTTACGCGTTTTTAGTTGTAGATCATCCAGGTTAGTAGAGTTTTTAGCAGGACTGCTGGTGACTGATGTTGACCGAGCGGTAGTCATCTTCAGATCATGTGTCATTGCGTAGAGGAAATGTGTCGGTGTGGGGCATCAATTGTATTGTCATCGTAGAATAGGCTCAAGTAAATAAATTGCTCGTTCGTTTGAGGTTGTGAATAAGTCGTTTGTAAGGTGTCGGTAATTGTTGTGATCTGTTTAGTGATTAATGTTCTAATATTAATATTACTTAGTTTTGCCAAATGCGTAGTTACGTGATGTTGCAAGCTGCTATTTTGCGTAATGTTGGGTTATGCAATATTTGAAGATGTTATGATATTGCTGTATGTTGGGTTACGTAATGTTGTATAATGTAATGTTGCTCTACGTTGGGTTACATAAGTGATATTGTAAGTTTTTGTGATGTTTCCGATAACGGGCTTACACGATGATAGCTAAGTTGCTACAATGTTGCTGAATGTTGAGTAACGAAACTTTATCAAATATTACACTGCAAACAGTACTTCCGCAGTAAAAATGGCATGTTGATAAAACGTATTACCTTAACAAGCTGTTGAGCTCGTCAATGAACTTCTTCGACATCCTCATAAGATCCTTTGCAACCATCTTGGAAAGTTGTCGAAAATGGAACCAAGTTTGAACGATGCTATCTCTGATATTTCGGCAATCAACCATTAATAAACCATTAGTTGTGCAGAATGACTTCGTGAACTGTTCTAATTCTACCATCCAGGTATTAATCTAAGTTGTTTCTAAAAATGTACATAGAAAAATGTCAGTTAATTTCCATGTTTGGTTTCTCAGTCAAACAGGTGCTGAATGAATTTTGGATCATTTTAAAAGCATATTAATAGCATATTGATGAAAACACTCCCTGGAGACTTATTTTCAATTGATGATACATGGCATTTATATTACATCTTGCATCCTTGAAATACAGTGCGGTGAGGGAGGGGAGGGAGGTTGTAGTGGATGACGAATAATCTCCACTGGACAAGATGACGAGGATCGGATTGAGCTTTCACACGAATATTCTTGACCAAAAACTGAGATGACAAAGCCGATGTGACAAAAGCGTCACAGTGACAACGGCTGTATGAAGCTGGACTGTATAATTATGTACAATTTCATTTCTCCTTTCTGTTTCCTATTTAACTTTTCGTCATCCAGTTGAAATTTTACGCTGTATAAAAATGGTGGTGTGCTGAGGTTGAGGTATATGCTCGAGGTATAATAAGACTTTGGTTTAATTTTGGAGTAATATACGTAATGAATGCAGAGATTAATGAAGATAATCTTGCACTTTGTTGGACAATTTGTTAATTGTCTCGTGCGAAGATCATATCTTCATACGTATTGTTATACACCTTATCATGAAATCTTGTCACAATCATGTTCAACATGCCCTAACATGATATGAACGTACCTCAATAACTTCCGTCGGCCTTCCACGCCATGAATTTTACACGGTATTATTCCAAGTTCGAACAAATTTATGAACCTCAAAGAGTCTTTCGTTGCTCCTTCAGAACTCGATCACTTATGCAGATGCAGCATTGACAATTTCTCCTGTTTCCGAAAGGCATATCTTCACAAAACATACAAACGAATATCTCAAATGGATGGAATAATCTAACTAGATAGTCAGTAATGTCTGTCGGACAGAAATATATAACATAAAATATTGCCACTATGCAATTATGCAGGACCGTGAGAACAACAAATTTCAAAGAATTGAATAATGGTAAACTTCTGAAATTTTACAATATAAAGTTAATCTGTAGGCTGGCTACGCAACTGAACATATTCATCTTTAGTATTACCATACAGTAGACTAATCTAGCCACCATGAACGAAAACGTTGATGAGGAAACGTAGATACAGTATGATATTAACCTACATAGTTTGCAATCAATCTATTTTTCAATTACCAGCACTTTTCTTAAAAGAAAATGCATGGTTAATGGAGATAAATATAAGATAACTGCTTTCTCAATAGAAATATACGCTAATATATACGTAGACAATAATATGCAGGAGCGTAGGGAAGGAAAGTGAGGAAAACATAGACAGTAGGTAACAGAAATAACTTTTTCGTAGATACAAAATCAAGTTAGAGTGCAAGTTATTTTGAAAAACTCTTGGTCTTTGAGAGAGCGCTTATATCACGCAGTATTCAACTTGTGCTTACTTCTAAATCGCTGCGACGTTTGACGACGCCTATGTAAAAACACAGGCCAATTTACAGGTATAAATTAACTATTGCATTCCGCTTCAGTATCATAATGTTAACAAAAGATCTGAATACATGGTAGTTCGTATGAAAGCATTCGTGGAGATTTACTAGTTGTACATTTTGATATGATAAAAAAACAAATGAAAATTACAAAAATGCTCTTCTCTCAATGCAAAACTTACTCTTTGAGAAGAATATTCTTAAGTTTCTCATATGCAACAGGGCTGGTGGATGCCTTCACTTGCAATTGCATTGTTTGTCCTTGCACAATCATACCAGGTCTTGTTTGAATTATTGACTCCACTTCCAATTCTATTTCACAAGTGAAATTAACTTACTTTATTAAAAAATTGACCAGCATGGATTCTGTACTTTATTATTAAAATTTCTATTTCTTATTAAAATTGTAGTTTTGAGAAAACCTCTTTGAATCTATTATTTTAACATTCTTGTCAACATATTCTCTTGAAGTTATAATACTAGAAGCATAAAATACAGGGTGTGTGGAGTTTTACTCCCCAACCAAATTCAACTCCTGTCATAACTTTCAACTTGCTCCAACTACGCACCTCCTACCAATTAATCTTTCTCTTGCATCATCAAACAAACATGGACACGTTCTTCCTGGATGGATTCAAATTCCTAATGGCTTCATCACCATCTGCAAGTCAATGTAACAACCATTATGAAGTATTGACAATACAGTATATTTTAATAAATATCATTGATCATTTTAAATACAAAGAAATAGAGCTTTAAGCAAGCAAAGCTAGTTTAGATGGATAAGAGACCAACCACTATAAATTGACATAAATTCTCTGGCAGAATGTAAAGCTTCATATGAAATGACAGAGACAAAATAAAGTGAAAATTTTCTTATTTGAAGGGTGCAGTATACACAGACAGTTTTAAAACAGTCAAAATGCATCAAATGACAAAGTACTAGTAAAAACAATCAATTACAAAAAATCTAGAGAAAACCTGTTGCCATGGACTATGCAACGCAACAACTGCAGAATGAGAACGACAATACTACATTTTAACAACAAACCTTCCATCAGTATTCCAAATGCTTTCCAAAATGTCAAAACCGGATCACCTCCGTGCTTCTGCAAAACCTTGCAAAACACACGTTTTGTAGTGCGTAAAATCTTGCTCGACAATAATAGTTGATACTGCCCTGTTGCAAAAATATTGCACTTGCTTGAGTCAAAATATAATTTATATTTCTGCAACTAATGTTAGAATTATCTATAAGACGAAACATACCAGTATTAGAGTATCTGTAGATGCCATAGTTATTGTACGAATTAATAGTACAAGCTAGATTTTTGTGTTATCGTTTTCTGCCATTTGCTGACATCTCTTTATCACTCTGTATTGTTGACTCTCGGCCCAGGCTACTTCTGCGCGTGGTCAATATAAACTCTATAAATAAATATGGCCGAAGAAACTTCATTAGAGCAAGAAGCATTGAAACGGCGAGAAAAGTTAATTGATGGAGAAGAGTGCTGCTGCTGAGGTATATACTTATTGTCTTAATTGTTTATTTCAACCGTCAGGTTCATCATCATTTTTTTGTCAAAGCCAGTTACTACTCTCAAAATGACAATCATCAATGTATCTACTCAGCCTATATTCTCAGTATTCTGAAAAGTATGCCTTTTTGACGAGATCTCAGCCTTTTGTATGATGGCATTATAGTAAATTGTTTTATACTGCGCAGATACACACAATGCAACAATAGTACTGATCCATCAGTAATCATGAAATTCAATATAAAATTATAAATGTTGGTTTGGTTACGCAATGAATGAATGAATGAAAATCTTTATTTTGACACGCTGGCCCTATCACAAAACGTGTTTGCAAGGTTTGCAGAAGCACGGAGGTGATCCGGTTTTGACATTTTGGAGCATTTGAAATACTGGATGGAAGGTTGTGTTTAAAATGTAGAGTATTATCGTTCTCATTCCCAGTTGTGGTGTTGCACAGTCCATGGCAACAGGTTTTCTCTGATTTCTTGTAATTGATTGTCCCATTTTTACTAGTACTTGTCATTTGATGCATTCTGACTGTTTTAAACTGTCATAATACTGCACCCTTCAGCAAGAAAATTTCACTTTTATTTTGTCTCCGTCATTTCACATATGAAGTTTTTACATTCTGCTACAGAATTTATGTCAATTTAGTATGTTCATCCATCACAAACAGCCAGTTTTGCTTAAAAGTCTCAGCTTTAAATGATCCAAATGATATTTATTAAATATACTGTATTGTCAATACTTCATAATGGTTGTTACATTGACTTGCAGATCGTGTGTCAGAAGCCATTAGAGAATTTGAATCCATCCAAGAAAGTGAAGTACAGTTGTCCTGTGTTGTTTGATGGCATTAATTCATGCACATAAAAGGCACAATTAATGACAAGGAAAGTGTACATGAATTGAAAACAAGATTGAAAAATGAACAAGCAGGAGAATTTGCTGCAATGTTTTGTGGCACACAGCACGCCATGAAAAAAGTAAGAGAATATGTTGATTAGAATGTTGAAAATGTCCAATGGTTCAAGGAGTTTTCTAAACACCTGAATTTTTACTAAAGTGGCACCCCTTGCACAAAGCAAGTTAAATGCTCAAATCCTTTTAACAAAGCAAGCTTTCATTGTGAAATAACGATGAAGTGAGCCGAATGAAAACGTTATCCGGTATGATCAGAAGACAAACAATGCAATTGCAAGTGAAGGCATCCACCAGCCCTGTTGCATATGAGAAACTTAAGAATATTCTTCTCAAAGAGTAAGTTTTGCATTGAGAAGAGCATTTTTGTAATTTTCATTTGTTTTTATCATATCAAAAATGTCAGTAAATCTTCACGAATGCTTTTATACGAACTACCATGTATCAGATCTTTTGTTAACATTATGATACTGAAGCTGAATGCAATAGTTAATTTATACCTGTAAATTGGCCTGTGTTTTTTTACATAGGCGTCGTCAAACGTGTCGCAGCGATTTAGAAGTAAGCACAAAGTTGAATACTGCGTGATATAAAGCGCTCAAAGACCAGCGGAGAGTTTTTCAAAATAACTTGCACTCTAACTTGATTTTGTATCTACGAAAAGTTATTTCTGTTACCTACTGTCTATGTGTTTTCTCACTTTCCTTCCCTACGCTCCTGCATATTATTAATTACATGTATATATGTATATTTATTGAGAAAGCAGTTATCTTATATTTATCTCCATTAACTATGCATTTTCAAGTGCTGGTAGTGAAAATAGATTGATTGCAAACCGTAGGTCATCAAACCGTACCAATTCCTCATCAACGTTTTCGTTCATGGTGGCTAGATTAGCCTACTGTATGGTACTAAAGATGAATATGTTCAGTTGCAGCCAGTTACAGATTAACTTTTATGTGTAAATTTCAGAAGTTTACCATTATTCAACTTTCTGAAATTTGTTGTTCTCACGGTCCCGCATAATTGCATAGTGGCAATATTTTATGTTATATATTTCTTTCGTCCGACCATTACTGACTATCTAGTTAGATTATTCCATCCATTTGATATATTCATTTGTGTTTTAGTGAAGATATCGTTCATGCCTTTCGGAAACAGGAGGAAATTGTCAATGCTGCATCTGCAGAAGTGATCGAGTTCTGAAGGAGCAACGAAAGACTCTTGAGGTTCATAAATTTGTTCGAACTTGGAATAATACCGTTAAATTCATGGCGTGGAAGGCCGACGGAAGTTATTGAGGTACGTTCATATCATGTTAGGACATGTTGAACATGATTGTGACAAGATTTCTTTGCATGATATAAGGTGAATGAAGATATGATCTTCGCATGAGACAATTGCTTAAATTGTCCAACAAAGTGCGAAGATCATATCTTCATTTAATTTCAAACACTGCACTGCATAAAAACATTCATATAACATTCATTTCTTGAGAAAACATGAGCCCAAACAAAATTGACCTGCTCACCACTGTGTGACTTCATAGCTCAGTTGGTCAGATTACTGCACTGGCACCGCAGAGGTCATGGGTTCGATTCCCGTTGAGTCACCTGATTTTCAGGGTTTATGAGACAACAACCAACAAAGTGCGAAGATCATATCTTCATTTAATTTCAAACACCGCACTGCATAAAAACATTCAAATACGTATATTACTCACAAATATTAAACCAAAGTCTTATTATACCTCGAGCATACAATTCCCTCAGCCCACCACCATTTTATATCCGCAAAATTTCAACTTTACTGGATGACGAAAGTTAAATAGAAACAGAAAAGGAAATGAAAGTACATAATTATACAGTCCAGCTTATACAGCCGTTGTCACTGTGACGCTTTGTCACATCGGCTTTGTCATCTCAGTTTTGGTCAAGAATATTTGTGAAAGCTCAATCCGATCCAGTGGAGATTATTCGTTATCCAACAATCCTCCCTTCCCTCACCGCACTGTATTTCAAGTATGCAAGATGTAATATAAATGCCATGTCATCAATTGAAAATAAGTCTCCAGGGAAGTGTTTTCATCAATATGCTATTAATATGTTTTTAAAAATGATCCAAAATTCATTCAGCAGCCTGTTTGACTGAGAAGCCTGAAGAAACATGGAAATTAACTGACATTTTTCTATGTACATTTTTTAGAAACAACTTAGACAGATTAATACCTGGATGGTAGAATTAGAACTGTTCACGAAGTCATTCTGCACAACTAATGGTTTATTAATGGTTGATTGCCGAAATATCAGAGATAGCATCGTTCCGAAACTTGGTTCCATTTTCGACAACTTTCAAGATGGTTGCAAAGGATCTTATGAGGATGTCGAAGAAGTTCATTGACGAGGCTCAACAGCTTGTTAGGTAATACGTTTTATCAACATGCCATTTTTCACTGCGGAAGTACTGTTTGCAGTGTAATATTTGATAAAGTTTCCGTTACTCAACATTCAGCAACATTGTAGCAACTTAGCTATAACATCGTGTAAGCCCGTTATCGGAAACATCACAAAACTTACAATATCACTATGTAACCCAACGTAGAGCAACATTACATTATACAACATTACGTAACCCAACATACAGCAATATCATAACATCTTAAAATATTACATAACCCAACATTACGCAAAATAGCAGCTTGCAACATCACGTAACTACGCATTTGGCAAAACTAAGTAATATTAGTAATATTAGAACATTACTCACTAAACAGATCACAACAATTACCGACACACCTTACAAACGACTTATTCACAACCTCAAACGAACGAGCAATTTATTTACTTGAGCCTATTCTACGATGACAATACACAATTGATGCCCACACACCGACACATTTCTACACGCAATGACACATGAACTCTGAAGATGACTACTGCTCAGGTTGTTAAACGTCAGTCAACATCAACACCAGCAGTCCCATCTTAACCTGGATGATCTACAACTAAAAACACGTAACTAAATAACATTGATAACTAAATAACAAGTTATGACATGCGTAGATGTTCCATGATTCGTTAGTCGCGGAAATTACGTAGCATTTTTAGTAGTTGCGTTGTTAGCCCGCAATGTTTGGTCCTGCTATGTAAATGTTAGATCATTAGCGTTATTTATTTGTTTAGAAATTTATTGTTTTTATGCTGAGGAAACATCGAATAAAATATTTTGGTATATTTACACTATTTTTAAAACGAAAACGATAAAACAGTATATATGTGATGATGAAAAGCGAGTTAATATATAGTTATTCCATACAGAGGAGTAATCTAGAACGTTAATTGAGGTGTAGGGCATATTTTAGAATTCCGTTGTGCCTACTGATTTCTTTTTGAACGTGAATTGAATTTCAAAAGAAATCAGTAGAGCATAATGATTATATGAATATACATTCTCCCCAATTAATATTTCTAGTTAACTCTGATACCATCTGATCTTAAGCATTTTAGCGACGATAATTTCTGTCTAGGTTAACAAATTTCTTTGTTTTAAACTATGTGTATTATAACGATTGTATAAAGTTTTGTCATTTCATTTAACCTATTGTCCAGCACCACCACATATTGTTAAAACAAACTGTAATAATAACATAGAAAAAGGATTAATAATCATAATAATTCACAAACTTACATAATATTCAATAACAATACCAAACGTGAATATACATCCAAACGTCAACGCCCAGTCCAAAGGCAACGC